TTACATCAGGGATCTATGAAGGCATAGGTATATCACCTAGTCACTCTGATGATGGACACCATGCTGCTTCCCCTCTATGGAAAACAGGATGGCTACAGTCATCTGGAGCAGCACCTGGGCCAAGCTGGTTCTGTCTCAGCAGAATTTCTAGTACCTCCAAAGCACCATGCTAAGGTAGATACTTAGTTTCACACTTTGTGGGCAGGGTAACATACAGAAAGCTATATGACAGATTTCATCACAACAGTGCCTGGCACAGTAAGTGAACAATATAGATATGCCTTGAACGTACCTTAAGGAGGCACAGGGTGTATCTCAGAGTCCAGTACAGCTATATATATTCATCCTACTGTTAAGTCATACAATCCCTTAAAAATACAACAGAACTCTAAATTTGTTGCATTTGTGTCATTTTCCGGCATATGAGTTTAAAATCTTTTTAAAAGACAAAACAGCAGGTAGGAATCTCAGTTTCAAGTCACAGAAGGGATGAAACTGTAACTATAGTCATTTATGTGATGTAAACAAATAAATTAATAGTGACAAACTCTTGCACAGCATTTTATAACCATAGGTCTCAAAAAAGGTAGGTTCGTATCATTATAATAAAAATCATATTGTGATGGAATATAATCATTTTTACAGATAGGGAAATGGAGGCACAGAACAGTAAAACCCAAAATCATGGAGTAGGCCATTAGCAATTAGAAATAAAATCCACGTAGAACTGAAACATGGGAGGTGTGGAAAACACCATAAACTAAGTTGAGAATATCATCTAATTTTCAAAAATATTCATTTAATCATTTTCTTTTATTTCTCACTGTCAAAGACATGAAAAGGCCCGCATCATACATATCTAAGTTTCAAAGAAATTGTTGTACAACAATTTTAACTATTAAATGATTTTTACAGATAATACAACAAAAATATTTTGTTATTTCCCTAAAGTAGGGCTGTCCAACTTTTAAGCATCTAGGGGCCACACTGTGCATGGACAGTACCAGCAGTGGCTGCAATAGTCCTTGTTGTGGACACTTTCCATCCCTTGCTGCACCATATGCAAGGATGTTCCCCCCCCCCCCCCC